GGCTCACCATACACTTTACCATTCTATCATACAATCTCTGTACAAACAACTTTAGATTTACCAAATCTTTGTAAAATGAAGACCTACCTTAAAGTGATATTAAAGTCAAAATGTTTTTAAGCGATTTCAAATGCTGATTAAACCACTTACAATGGATGATGTTCCTTATTGTTTAAAATTTTTAGATTCCTGCTGAATCAGCTGGTCCACTGAGCACTGGCCTTGATATCCTGTTTTATGGGGGCTCCTTTCCCTTGCAGGATCCTATAGAGTGTGTTAGTAAGCTGTGCGTGTCTCCACAAACACAAAAGGACAGCAAGACAAGCCATTCCCCTCCCCCAGCTCCTCTCTCCTCCTTCCTCACAATTTCCTTCCCCTTCTCCAAGCTAGTAGATGGACAGCTGCTGGAGACTTCTCTGTCCCTTGTGATCCTGTACTAGACAGGAAGTTCAGGGAAGCTGAGCAGAAAGAGTTGAAGCGGTTTGGAAACATGATAACTGTAAGTGCTTGGGCAAAAAATATAAATAAATGCTTTGCTGGGCAATGTACACTGAGTGGCCAGATTATTATGACCACCCCATCAGTACTTCGTTGGGCCACAAGATAACTCCACGAGATTACTTTGTTGGGCCGCCTTGTGACTCCACGAGATGTTGAAAGGTGATGCGAGGAATCTGACACTGCACTGTTGCGCTTCTGTTGTCTTGTACCAGTCTTGCCACTCTCCGTTCTGCCCTAACATTGACTAGTCGCTGCCTGCCGCAATTCGCACGTTCAGACCCAGATTTTCAGCTGACAGTCCAGTCTTTAAACACTTTAACAACAGCTGCTCTTGAACATTTAACAAATTCTGCTGTTTTGCTGATACTCGCTCCATGGCTCAGAGCGCCAACAATCATCCCACGTACAAAGGCTGTTAAATTCCGCTATTTACCCGTATCTTCAGAAAAAAAAATCACTTCTACTGTCGTGGTAAACAACCTGCTTCCCTATTTATAATGGTCTGGCCCTCTAGCAACTTCAGCGCAAAATTATACCCAATTATAGCTAATTTGCCTACAAACGTCAGGTGTTCATAATAATCCGGCCACTCAGTGTATATTTGCATGACCGGGGTTCATTATAGAAAAAAAGATTGAGAGTGTAATACTGCTTTAACTATGCAATCAATTTGTATCCAATCAGGCAGACCCGTGCACTACATACTTTTTTGGTAGATCTAAAGAAGATTGTATAATCAGATTGTAACATGCGTGATAAGCTTTTGTAGAAAACTGCAGAGCATGATAAATGAAATTACGTAGCAGCTTAACCCTTATATAGTTAAAGACAGGGAAATATGGGGTAACAGTCCTGCAGGACTCTATATGGTCTCATGGAAGTAAATTATTCATCTGTACACTTAGACAGAGTATCAACATCTTCAGAAATGAAAGAGCCATGCATTGTACAGGGATATTATTATTTTTATTATTATTACATAGTATTTATATAGCGCCAACAGTTTGCGCAGCGCTTTACAATATAAGAGTGTCAAAAGCAGCAGAGAGGTCTAATAGCAAGAGTTAGGAATAGTGGCCGTTGTTTTTAGCGGTTATTAGGTCATTGGTGAGTTTTAGGAGGGCGGTTTCAGTGGAGTGTTTGGGGCGAAAGCCGGACTGAAAGGCGTCCAAAAGGTTGTTAAATGCGAGGTGGCAACTCAGGCGGTTGTAGATAAGGCGTTCTAGTAGTTTAGAGGTGAATGGGAGTAAGTAGATAGGTCTGAAATTATTGAGGTTGGTAGGGTCCAGTGAAGGTTTTTTCTTTGAAATAAGATTTCATTGGTATGACTACTTTTGTAAAAGAAGAAAATGCTAAATACTTTTATGATACTAATCACTATCACTGAGAATATAATAAAATTCTCCCAATAATGGTTGTGTGTTCCTCTCACAGGTGTAGAGGAAGACAGATTCGAGAGACATGCGGTCAGCAAAGCGTCTGAACCCTCAGTAAGTATTTCCATTATATGCATTCTGCTCTCGACTGAACCTGGGTTGAAGCTCCTTTAAATTCAAATAACCAAGACATACTGTATGTTCTGGGATTGCCTGGGTATAGGTCAATTTTGGATGGAGGCCACTCACTTTGTTTTTCTTCAATTGACAGAGTTAGAAGTCACTCCAGATATGCTAACTTTCCTTCTTGGATTGACATATCGCATTGCTTCCATCAACATGCGATGGTAGAACAACTATATCCTGGTAGCTGATATCCTAGCACAATTGCGCGCTGACATTTTGGGGTTTAATGTGGTTGTTTTGTTGGGGTAAGTACACATTGCACCTTATGTCCTGTGGAATAAAGCCCAGATCTGCATCCATGGACACGGTGGTGCCCTAGAACAATGTACATTGAGAACTGGAAGTTTCAGGGGGCAACGTAACAGTGACACTTGGGCTTCTCGGGAAAAGGGCAAAACTTGGAGCTCTCCAGAACACTGGCACACCACCGAAACCACACAGACCCTTGTTGTGTACCTTTCATGAATGCTTTTCTCTAAATCTAGGATTCTGTTTAACTGATTGCCCTTCACCTACCTTGTTAATGGCATGTTATTTGTTTCTACAGCAAGCAAATGTAACAGAGAAGTTCAGCCCCCTGAAGCAGAGGTCTCCCCCCGCCGGCCGCCCCCACCTGTCCCTAGAGGAAATCAAAGACGCAGATCGAGCGGTGAGAATTTCCTCTCATTCATTGCAAGGAGGGGAAAGGGATGTTGGGCTGAAGTAGCAGAGATTGGGGTCATCCCTCCAGCTCACATCCTGTGTTATGTTAGTACAGTGGTGGCGAACCTATGGCACGCTTGCCAGGGAGGGCACGTGGGGCCCTCTCTGCTGGCACGCGAGCCCAGGTTCAGGGACCACCAATGGAAATAGATCCGACCGACCCGGATTGCCTCAGTAAGCGATCCGGGCCAGTCACAATCAGGCAGCGGCAGCAAAACAACCTTCCCCTCCCCCCCGGGAGCCGCACGCCCCCCCTGGGAGCCTCAATGTATTCAATCCCACTTCTAAATGAAATGCAGATATTAACTTTGATATATCATCTGACAGTGCATATGCAAGAAGCTATAAAGTGCAGTTGGGGCACAGTTAACCCATTGAGAATTGTAAACCTTTAGTTCCATAAATTCAAGCCTGTTGGTGTACAATCTTGTTTCTGGGTGTAGACATTAAAAACCTGACATTTATCTGTTTGCCATGGGCTGCATGTGTTTGCCATGGGCAGACAGTAGGGCCACTTGGTGACTTGGCGGGGTCCACAGGCAGCTTAACTTTTCAGTACGACAAAGAAGTTGAATCCAACATAGCTTTACTTCAGATAAGTGCAGTACAGAGGGTCTTTTTGCTGTCTTTTGATGTGTAAGAAGACAATTACTTTCCATAGCCCTGTGTCTGCTAGGAACATGAAACTAAGTTGTACAGAAGGGAAAGGCAGGGAGAGTCTAGCTAGGAACTGGACTAACTGGAGACTGTGACAGCACACTTATTTATACAGATCTTTGCATTACAATTCTTGTGAAGAGATCTCATGAAATACATTATTTTGGAACAATATAAGCAAATTAGGGGCTTGTACAAGATCACTCTTTACCTTTTAGTTTTCTCAAGTCATTTCTGATTTTACCATCAACATTCTTTGAGGTTTTTTTTAATGTGAGAAGTGAATGGGTAATGTTTTTCAGAGAAGTCTTCAGCCCCTCTGACCCAATTATCTATTCCCTCGTTTACTTGTGTTTCCTGATCTAGCCTGTGCTCAATTATCTAATGTGTAACATCAACATAAGACGCTTTTCCTGTGAGTCAAATTCCTGATGTTTCCTGTCTAAACCATTTGTGAGGATCACTAAAGTTCCATTGCTCATTGCTCTGAGCAGTGAAAGGGCCTTAATCCGTTGTATTGTTTAAAGTGAACCTGTCAGTCATTTTAAATATTTTATAGTAAAAGTACTGCCTAAGAGCAGACACGGTAAGATGCCTTTTTTTACCTGTGTTACACATACAGTTCTTTTGTGCCTCTCTGATCCTAAGATCTACCCAATCGCTACCTGTCTGTCTATTGAGAGGGCTTTGAGTGCTTTTAGTTAACACTCACCTGTCCTGTCAACCATGCCAAAAAGATCTAAGCGTGCAGAGGAATCTGTTGCATCTAACACTTCCAGGAGCGTTGGATGCCTGTTCCCTCTCTATGGTCAGTGGTTCCATTCTCCTTCTTCTATATCACTACAGGACACAGTCAAGATGTAGGGGCCAGTGAAATAACCATAGTGGTGGATCAGGCATCTGACACCACACACCACAAAGGGAGCAAATATTAAATTTAGGGGAAGTGGGACAGGTCAGTATCTATCCTTTCCTTTACAGGCTGGCCTATTTGTCAACTATTTCAATTAGTGACAGAGTCGTTTAAACATTGAACTGGTTACAAACAAAACCAACCAACCTCAGCTAAGTATTGGTAACATCGCTTGAACTAGGTGCATTGTTTCTTCGAGTGTGTTGGATTCACGAATACCAACTGCTTCTCCTTTCAGTAATACAGAACGATGGCTCAACTGCTGTTTCTGATCTTGTTTTTAGGCACAGAAGGAAAAGCTGCACGAGGAGCTAAAGAAAGTTTTACTACTGAAAGGACAAAGAAACTCAGCAGAGACAGAGGAACTTGCGATGGAGACTCAGATCAACATCACAGAGGTAAGAGGGAATGTTTGGCTTTTTTTTTTATATACTGTATATTTTCTTTATTTACATATACATTTATATACAGTACATAATCGTCCTTTCACTTGTTCCATTAAATCAACTCACACAATTATTACATTTTGTATCACTTGCCTCTCCTACTAGATTGTCAGCTGTCACGAGCAGGGCCCTCCTAACCCTCCTGTATTGAAATTGTTTTGTTACCTGTATTGTCTCCCTCCATTTTTTAAAGCGCTGCGCAAACTGTAGGCTCTTAACAAAACCTGTACAGATATATACCGTAAATAGTCACTGCTGACGTTTCAAAATATAGTGGCTGCCAAATGGCTCCCTCTCTCTCATAGCAGAGATAGAACTTTCTGAAATACTCTGGTGCACACGTGTTGCCAGCAGGCATGCTTTGCAAACTGATTTGCATGTAGGCATTCTGTTAAATGTTGGCTTTTTCAATCAGTCGATGATCATTAAATGCCCTTAGCATTTAATAAAACATCAATCTTCATTAACATCTGATCTCAAAAAGATGTTAAACTGACTGATGAATACTGTAGACTGGAAACTCTTAAAGCACAGATAGGCAGGAGATGATTGTTGCCTAATCTTACTAAAATTAGCTAAACTGAGTAATGATCAAGATGTTTATAGTCAGTTTTAGACAGACAAATGTGTACTTTCATCAGACAGATCTGTTTAACCATTGTTCAATGTTTTTGCTACCAGGAGAAGCTAAGAGCCTCAGAGATGGTAGAGGTTATTGTAGAAACAGAGGCTCAGGCTGGAATGAGTGGCATCATCATTTCTGGAGGAGGAAGAGAAGGACTGTTCATATCGGATGTCCACAAAGACTCCCCAGCTTTCAAAAATCTGCCTCTGCAAGAAGGTGAATGATTTAATGGGGTGGGGTTGAAAACGCATTAGAGATTGGAATGGCCAGGAGTGTTAATCAGAAATTAGAAGACCTGGGGCACACTGAGGAATACTGTGTATACCCAGCCTTACACTGCTGCTCAGTGAGCCCCTTTACACTGGTGCTCAACACTCAGTGTGTCAACATGGATGATCGGTGCTCAATGTGCACCCATATGTTGGATGGTCAGTGCTCAGTGTGTTCTCTTACACTGGTTGTCAGAGCTCAGTGTGCCCCATTATGTTGGTGGTCCCCACTTCACAAGCAATCAGCAGCAACCTTATGCAGGTGGGCAGGTGGGGAGCAAGCAGGCAGGCTAATGGTCACATGCAGTAGCAATAAGTCCCCACCACTGGAAGTGCACATTAAATGTCGCCTCTTCCTTCTGGTGAAATGCATACACAGTGGCTTGGGGGAGGGAGCTCTGCTTTCTTCAAAAACCCTGCCTGGGAAAATTGCCCACAACCAATATTTTGTGGGGGGTGCAACTAGATGGAGTGTGGTTTGCAGCCTCAGGACCAGTGGCGGAGCTAAGGAACAAAGGGCCCTGGTGCAAGATTTTTTTTTTGGGCCCCCCCCCCATAAACCCACAAACACAGCGCTCTCCTTTCGCAGCGCTCGGCCGGCTGTCACTTTCTCTCCTCCCCGTTGGGACACAGAGCAGCGTCCAGCGGGGAGAAAAGAAAGCAGGGATGTGCCGCTGTTTCGGCAGAAAGATTGCACTTTCGGCATTATGCCGGGCGCTGGATACTGATCCGGCGGCCGGCATCTTGCTTGGGCCCCCCCAGAGCCTGAGGCCCCGGGCGCCGGCACCGCCTGCACCGGCGGTAGTTCCGCCACTGCTCAGGACTTGGGGCACTGAACATCACATGTTGAGCATGCACCCCCAGTGCCCTGAGCTAGGGATTCCGCTCACAGTAAAGTGTATTTCCACCTTTGCAGCCAAATGTGGATAACACCTATATTACAGTATATTTGTTATACTGCAACAAATACATTAAAAATGGCTACTTTTTACTTGCCCTTTTCTGAAAACTTAAGTTATGTTTCCAATGAATAACCCTGTCTGTACTGAAGATCTTCATTATCAGTTGTAAACTACATGTGCACATTGTCTGCCCTTACAAAAAGTTAAAGATATCAAGGCATGGTACGCATTGTATGTTAATAGTCTGTCCCTTAGGCTGGGCACACACCTTACAACCATCGCAAGACTTTTGTCTTGCGATGGTTGTAAGGTACTTAAAAAAACGTACGATCTGCCTATTTGCATTGGCAGATCGTACTTGCGATGATCGCAAGCCACGGCCCCTGAGGGGCGGGCTTCCGGTTACCGCAAATGCCGAACGGGCAGTGTGCGCTTGCGCACACTGGCCCATACGGCTTTTATGGTACGAACATGCCACAAACCTGCCGAACATCGTACGATGCTCAGCGGGTTTTCGAACATGTCCGTAAGTAAAAAATCGTGCGACCTTACAGTAGTAGAGGTCGCACGGCTTCCACACACCTTACGATAATCGTACGATCGCGGGATTTCCCGCGATTATCGTACGATTATCGTAAGGTGTGTGGGGACCTTAAGTAAGCACATTTTAAGCTATTCTGAACAATACAAACTGCATATAGAGTTTAGTGCTCAGCGTATAAGAAATATTTGTTTAAATTATTTTTAGGTGTGCTGGTTGGATGGAACCCCATAACAAACATATGTGGGGTATTTTTTTTTTTATTTGGCTGCAAATATGGAAATATGCTTTTTACAGTATTGCTCCCTTCTTAATGAAAAAAGCAGACCTGTTGTACAGGACATCTGCAATACTAATTAACTGGGTGTAGAGCATTCTGTTTTCTATAGAATAATTATTGCATGTGTGCTAATTCCTCCTTTTGTCTCCTTTACAATGTCACAGGGGACCAGATCATCAGTGCCCGAGTATATTTTGAGAACATTAAGTATGAAGATGCTTTGAAAATCCTACAGTATGCAGAACGTTACAAAGTCTCCTATTGCCTCAAGAGAACAGTGCCATCTAGTGATGTCACAGTGTCACCAGGCACTGGGGCTGTAGAGGTCAAAGGCCCAAAGGCCAAGATGCCAAAAATGGTATGTTGGAAAAAATAGGGCTTATAGAGGCAGACAAACTGAGACTGATTGTTTCTGTTATGGATAGCGTTGGTTGGGGTTAAGTATTTTGCTTAAACTTTACAGTTGTTCAGGATGCTTGTAGATCTTGGCTTTTTAGCCAAGCTCCATTACAACCAAAACTATGAAATCCAGTTTGGGTTTGGGTGCTCTTGAACATATTCTGCTTCAAGCTTTACTGACAGCAACATGTCTGTACCAGGACTCGTATATGGTCATAAAGACAATGTTATGAAAGGTCTAAATCCAGTTTTAACATAATAACATATAATTTACTTTTATAGGTTCCCCTTTAATGTTATAGCCCCGACTTAAAAATAAAGTAATGCAGTTTACCTAAAATTAATTACATTCATACATTTTTCAGAGCACATGTATATATTTACCTAAGTAAACTAAAGAGAGATGCTGATTGGTTGCCATGGGCAACTGCTCCAGATCTTGTCTGCTCCAGTTTTGATAAATTCCCCCCAGTATGTATATGAAGTTTTCACATTTTAACCCATCAAGCAAAAGTCTAGGTTTCTTTTCACATGTTCATCAGACAGTTGTTAATTGCTGTCCAAAAAAAAATATTTCTGTACAGACTTGAATAGATTAAAGGAGAACTATGGGGTTAGGGCTTTTCCCACAAACTAGGGCTTTTCCCACAAACTAGCGTCCTCATGTCACCCTACGCTCAGTATACCACGAGCTACAGCTCGCGGTATACTGAGACGCCACAGTATACCGCGAGCTACAGCTCGCTGTATACTGAGACGCTGCAGCTGAAGCGGATCCCGACAATTATGTCTGAACCCGCCCAGCTGCGTGAGTGACAGCTGGCTCTGCCTATCTAGAGGCAGAGCCAGCTGTACCCACCCCCTCCCCCGTCCGGGGAGGGGGGAATCCAGCCCCTCCACTGTCACGGCAGAGAGCTGTGACAGGATCGAAAGGTGAGCGAACGCCAGTATGTGTTCGCTCACTTCTCGATCTACTCAGCCGACCTGTGACAGTCTCATTGTCACAGGTCGGCTAGAACTATGAGTTCTGCCCCCCTCCATCTCTGTTCTGTACATCTCTGTACACATTTTCAATACTAGAAAGAGAATCACAATGGTTGGAGCTACTGCTGTATTTTCTCTATGGAAAACCTAGAATTATCTACATAGTCAGTGTAATGGGTGCACCTTGTACTAAGTTTTGTTATTTGTAAAACAAATTATATAAACATTATTTAAAAAATATATAACAAATCAGTCAACAAAATATAAAAATTATGTGAAAGCAGCTTGGTCATTTTAGTTTAGCCCTGCTTCAGCAGCATATATGTACCTTGCCCTTGTTCCCCTGCTTCTCTATTCAGCACCCATGAGCTTCTTGTCTCCAGAATTGTAGCTTACACAGGGCTTTAGGATGTACCAGTTAATTCCTTCATCTACCAAAGTTAAATGGAGCAGCAGGAGAGTGACAGTAATATTAAAGTATGCAGGGGAAGAGTGCATTATAACTTACTGTTAAGTTTAGTTCTTCAGTTATGTTACATTTTTGAAAAAATGACACAACATCAATTTGCAACACACAACAAAAAAACAAACATGTTATCTTTCTGATATATGAACTGCTGTAAAATGTTGGATCCAAAATCTTAAATGTATGCTAAGCAGTATGGGGTTTTTTTTTTTTCAGTCTGTGAAAAGCCTCACACCTGTGAAGAAGAAAAAGAAGAAGGAGCCAGGTCAAGTGAAGGACTCTGAGGTTTCAATGGAAGCTGTGAAAGGCTCTGAACTGTCTGCTGTCGATATGGACATTTCACCAGTAGATGTTGAGTTCTCCTTCCCCACATTCTCCAAGCTACTAAAAACAAAAGGTGGTGCAGAAGGGGAAGCTGTCACCAAGACTACCAAGGTTTCCACAAAAGTTGCAGCTGAAGAACAGAAAGGGCTAAAGATGAAATTCCCACGATTTCGGGCCAAGGATACTACTGGAAAAATTTCTGTAGATGAACCCAAAGCAAAAGCTGGAGCTGAGCGTGACGTTAAAGAAAAATCTTCAGCTAAATTTGGTATCTCTGTTCCTAAAATGAAAAAATCCAAAATAGATGTGACCATATCAAAGCCAGATGTTGGCGTGTCTATGCCAAAGGCTGCAGTTGGAACCAAAGAAGAAACCATTTTCAAGACACCTCAAGTAGAACTTGACATACCTCTACCAGCTATAAAAATGGAAACATCAGATATTACTGGAAAGCCTAAAACACCTGGGCTGAGCACTGCTGTTAAAATTCCAGATGTTGAAATCAAGGTGCCAACAACTTCTGTTGATTTGGATGCTCCAGATGCTAAGCTCAGCATTCCCCAACTGCCAAAAGTTGGTATTTGTACACCTCACATAGATAAGGAGCACAATATTGCTATTCAGGTTGATGGGAGATCCAAAACAGAAATCAAATTACCCTCTGTTGAAATAGCAGCACCTAAACTGGATATCGATTTGAGTCTGCCAAAAATTGAAGGTTCAGTAGAAGTTGAGCCTCTTGAAACCACTAGCCATGGATTTCAGATCAAACTGCCAAAATTTAGCATGTCTAGCAAAACCCCAGAAGCTGGTTTGAAAGGAACACCTCCAGAAATGAAAAAAGATATTGAGATGAAAGTTTCTGATAAGTTAAAAATACCATCTCTAAAAACACCACAACTTGATATTTTTCTACCTAAAGGTAAAGCAGAAGGAGACAGTCCTGATGGTCAACGCAAAAGTGCCATAAAATTGCCATCTCTTGAAATATCTGTTCCAAAAATGGATGTTGATGTAGCTGTCCCTAAGCTGGAAACAGGAGACATTACTGTTGAGCCAGTAGAAGTTCCAGATGTGACATTAAGAATGCCAAAAATAAGCCCCCCTAGGGTACGCATGAAAGTTAAGGATGCTTATGCTGCAAGAGGCCATATTAGTGACGTGAAGACAGAAAAATCTGATGCAGAGGGCACATTTGAAATTCCTGATGTGACACTTCAAATGCCAAAACTTAGCCTACCTAAAGTGGGCTTAAAAGGTGATAAGCTGGAGGTCCAAGTAAAGGAAGTAGTATGGAAAGGTGAAGATGAAGAGTTTACATTGAAAGGGCCCAAAATAAAATTGCCCAGTTTTGGAATATTGTCATCCAAGGAGAAATCAGAGACCGATGCTCTAGAGAAACCATCTACAGAAGTGGAAGGGAAATTCAAAATTCCCTCTGTTAAGTTGCCATCTTTTGACATTTCATTACCACAAGTCCAAGTCCCTGAGTCAAGGAAACTGGAAGTTACAGTTCCCACCGCTAAGATAGACATCAATGCACCTGAGCTGGAAGGTCCAGAATTGACACTGAAAATGCCCAAAGTCTCCCTACCCAAGTTAGATATCTCAACAAAGCTTAGTAAACCTGATGCATCTCCTCCGAAAGTTGGAATCAACATTCCAAGCAGTGATTCAAAAATAAAAGGTGATGCAACTATGAAAGATAAAGAAATCATCCCTGAATTGGATATTTCTATTCCCAAGATCAAATCTGCTGAAGTTGGCATAACATTGCCTAAACTTGATGGCGGTATGTCACTGGAGAAGCCAAAAATAGCAATGAAACTTCCAAAAGTGGAGTCTGATGCAATAGCATTTGATGGGAAAATGGGAGACTCAAAAACTGGTCTCCCTTCTATTAAAATGCCTGCTCTTGAGATAGATGCCCCAAGTCTTCAAGTCGACTTAAACCTGCCAAAAATGAAAACTGATGAACTTATTGCTGATGAAACTGAGGTTAAATTCCAAATGCCCAAGCTAAACCTCCCTAAATTGAGTGAAGTAGCCAAAGATATGGCTGTGGAACTTGATGTTCCAAAGATCCCAGGTGATTTGTCTTTACCACATGTTACTGTAGACACGAAGGGACCTGGACTGGACACAGACGGTAAAGGTGTAAAAATGAGCTTTCCAAAAGTTGAGATTGGATTGGGCAAAGCCTCAGACATAGAAGTCAGTGGACCTGAGCTCAAGGAAGAAATTGATGTCAAGCTCCCTAAAGTAAAACTGGAAAAGCTTGATGTGGAAGATATAGAGGCTAAAATGAAGTTGCCGTCAGTTAAACTTCCTTCTGTTAAAATCGCTGCACCCAACATTCCTGATGTGAAGCTGTCAGGTACAGAGGATTTAGCAGTAGATGTTTCCAGTGAGGCTGAAGCTAAATGGAAAGGTCCAAAGTTTTCTTTTCGCAAACTTGGCATTTCAGGCCCTAAAGTGAAGAAAGGTGGTGAGGTAGATATAAAAACATTGCACACAGACAAAGATACAGAGGTTGCAGTCAAAGGACAAAAGTTGAAAATGCCTAAATTTGGAATAGTTTTCCCAAAAGCAAAGCAAGATGTTGAGGGTGAAGGAGACAAAAAAGTTAGTAAAAGGAAGGTGGAGTCCTTTGATGGCCAAGTAGCATTATCCAGTGATGGAAAAGTGAAGATTCCATCATTTGAACTACCCGCTATTGACATCTCTGTCCCAAAGTTGGATGTAGATATTGCAGGTGAAGAATGCCAATTTTCAGACAAACCACCGGAAATAGACATTCCAGATGTAAAGCTGAACCTTCCCAAATTTTCTTTGCCAAAATTTGGAAAGGACAAAGGAATTAATGAAGAAGCAGAAAAAGGAAAAGTTGCATCTAAAGTTTCTCCATCTAAAAAAACAAAGACTGTTGATGTGTCTACCGAAGGTAGTATTGAGGCCAAAGGAAAAGGCAAAGAACTGAGAATGAAAATGCCAGCAATCAAGATGCCTTCCTTTGGAATATCAAAAAAAGATGCTGATGTTGTTGGAGCAAAAGTGGAGCTCAAGTCTCCTGATGATAAAACAAAGAAAGCAAAAGCAGTTACACAAGAAGCAAAAGTTAGGAAAGACGATGACAGAAAAATGGCTTTTATTAAAATGCCTATGTTTAAAATGTCCCTTCCAAAAGTGCAGGCACCTAAAGCTGATGTTACACTAACAGGTTCAAAAGAAGACATTCATCTACCGGACGTGCATGTGAAAGTACCCCAAGTTACATTGCCTTCTTTTGGCATAAAGGGTGATCAAGCAGCTGAAACCACTCTTCTAAAGACAGACACAAAAATATCGGAGAAACTGGAAAGCCTTGAGGCTCAGCTCAGTGAAAAGGTGAAGATTCCCTCTCTGGCGATCTCTGCCCTAACGGATGTTCCCGCTTTGCAAATTTCTGTCCCCTGTGTTAAACCAGATATTTCTGCCTCTTTACCCAAAGCAGAAGTGGATGTTTCTGATGCACATATTAAAAGATATGAAGGTGATTTAAAAATACCCAAAATACCATCCATTGATGTCTCTTTGCCCGATTTAGAGTTGGACATTGGTCTACCCAAAGCAAGTGTGGACTCCTCTTTAGAACTTGGAACTGGTCTTAGCTTGGAAAAGACTACTGCAAAATTGATAATGCCAATGATTGAACTGCCAAGGTTTGGGGAGCTAGAGGCCAAAGAAGACACCAGCCTAAAAGGATCAAAAATGAAAATGCCACATGTTGATATTTCATTTCCCAAAGTCAAATTAGATGAAGAAGACATACCATTTATTGAAAGTGAACTAAAAATGCATGGTTCAAGTGCTGAAACAAAATCTACAGAAGCAGCATATACTTTGCCTTCTGTAGAACTACCAAAAATGTCTACACCCAAAGTAAGGGCTCCAGAACTTGAGCTAGGTATCAACCTAGGCAACGATGATGTAAAAGTTGGAAGTACATGGAAGACACCAAAAGCAGATTTAAATGTTTCTGAAGGTGAGCAACATGATCTAAAACTCAAAATGCCAAAAATCAAGTTACCTAAATTTGGGAGTCCCAGCTCTGGTGTACAAGAAGACACAGTTAAAGTAGATGCTAAGGCTTCCAAACAAGTGGATGGTTCTGATTCAGGGATTATGGGCTTTAAAATTAAAATGCCTAAGCTCCAAGTAGGATCTCTTAAGGAAAAAGGAGATGTTGAGAAAGAAGGTGACTATAAAGTGTTCATGAAAGGTGATGCAAAAGCTTCAGATCATGAAGATTCTGAAAATGGGCGACTGTTCAAAATCAAGATGCCTTTGTTTGGAATTACTAAGGACAGTGCAGATGCTGCTACTGAGCCACTGCATCCATCTGAGGACAGTACAAAGTTCAAAATGCCAAAAATCTCTTTGCCTGATGTTGGATTTTCTGGAGGTGATGGTGAGGCATCGGTGTCTTTAGAAGGTGGTCAAGCAAGTACTATGGCCAAAATAAAAAGCACTGCATCATCAAGCATTGAGAATTTAGAAATAGATGTGGGCCTGAAAATGCCAAAAATCAAGATGCCAACAATTGGATTACCAGGAAGGAAGGGAGATGATGAAATGGAGGTGTCTCTGGATGAGGAGTCAGAGGCAAATAAGTATTTCCTTAAGATGCCAGATTTAGAGATTTCTGCTCCAAAGATCAAGGCACATGGTGAATATGAAGTGGATAGTGCAAAACTGGACACAGAAGGAGGTGATTCTTTAAAAAAGAGCAGTAAAACCAAGGAGGAACACAAACACCATGGCACCACAGATGATACTGAAAAGAAACTAAAGGTGAAACTCCCCAAAGTTGCTGTGAGTTTACCAAAAGCTGTGACAGATGTGGAGCTTTCTGCACCCAAACTAAAGTCAGATACGCATGATGGTGACATAACTTTAAAGACTTCAGGCCACCAGGAAGGTTATGAAGGAAAGAAAGCCAAAAAGACTTTCTCTTTTGGAAAAGCAAAGGAAAAAACTACAGGCCTATTAACATCTGATGTAGATACAAGTTTGGGAATTGAAGGACCAGATCTGAAGATAAAGTTACCAAAAATAAAAATGAAACCTTCTTTCAGTCGGTCACGAGGAAAGGGAAAGGGGGCAGAGGTCAATGGAGAGCCTGAGATTGCAGATGTCGATATTAGTGCTGATGGCTCAGGGAAGTCTTCAAAGATTAAGTTTCCCAAGTTAGGGTTTTCCTCCTCAAAGACAAATTCTGGAGAGTTTAATGTAAATGGAACTGGTTCTTCTGGTCACTTGAATGGTGAGCATGAGCTATCTGTCCAAAATGGATCTCAGGATGGTGCATTGAAAGTCGGAAAACTCAAGTTTCCTAAACTTGAATTTTCTTCACCATACAAAGGCAAAGACATTGATTCTGAAATGAATCTAAAATTGGTGAAAAAGGAAGAACTGGACTCTAAAGAATACAACAGTGACAGCTCGTTCTCAAGCAGATTTAAATCTCCTAAAATAGCCTTCTCTGGTTTCAAGAAAAAAGATAAGGGTGAGTATACAGCAGCAGCAAAAAACGTTGGGGAGGGAGACTCAAAATCAGGAAGCGGTCGCATTTCACTTGGATTTTTGTCAAGTAAATCCAAGGGAGAGTACACAGTGGACAATACTGGCATAGAAGAAGACACAGAGGGGGGCACCAGCAAAGACAAATCAGCTAAATATAAGATACCAAAACTATCTCTGGGGACCAAGGCAGGGACAGAGGTGGACAGTTCTAAAGAGATAATCAAACACACAGAAGAAGGTTCTCAAGAAAGTTTCAAGATCAGCCTGCCGCAAGTGAGTTTCACCACACATCAAGAAGAACAGATAACTAAGGAGGAAGATACTACTCTGGGCTTCCTGAAAGTTACAACGACAAAACAGATCAAGACAGAGACTGTAACAGAGAAGACATTGGCCATATAAGACAATCAGAACAGTTTTTTTTTTTGCCAAACACTTGGTATAACAACAGTACTTAGTAGTTGCAGGCCTCACATTCCCAAGGTAATCTCTCCACTCTAACCCCTACTGCAGCTCTTTTCGAAGAGTGCTAAAGATATCATTGTGAAGGTGATCCTTTTGACTTGTTTCTGAAATTGATCAGATTAAATCAAACTTTAATTAACACAACTTAGGTGACTTAAGAACAACACTAGAAGAACATGGCGTTAGTGTCACACATTATGGATTTAGAGTTCTCTCTCTTTAGTAAATGCTGTGGTGAGTAGTATTGTAGAGAGCATTTCTTGTTGTCATTTGGCATTACTATCACAAATACAGAGTTTAGTGAGACAGTATAGGGATATTGCTGCCAGAAATTACTACTCTAGAGCCGTTTTTTAAATTTGTTCTTAGGGTCACTGATCCAAGTCTCCAAATTGTTCCATGACATTTACCAGAGCCAGTTTTCGTTAAGGGAAGTTGTAAATTAATATCCACTTATATGGGGAATATTACTGAATTCTTCTTGTTGTTTGATATTTGACTGTCTTAGCACTTAAATTACCTGTTTGAGTAGTATGAGATGGCTAATCCTAAAACTGCAAGGAGTAAGGTTCTGCCAGCATTACTGTTTAAAAGGGTTGTCAAGACGTAACTTGCCACAGTTTGAAAAGACAACATAATTCAAAGCATGACAAATCTACAGCTGGGTAGAGGATCTCCTTTAATATTCGGTTCAAGTACCATAGCATTATCAACTATGGGGAAAACATCTTATGTGTTGTACTTTTTTCGAACATACACTATATAGACAAAGGTATGTGGACATCCCTCCAAATGATTAATTTTAGGTGTTTCCAGTAATGGGTGCTGTTAATGCCACAGAATATTAAGATGTTTTAGACAATTGGGTACTTCCAACCTTGTGGAGACACATTGGGGAAGGACCTTTTCTTTTTCTTTCTTTTCATGATTCTGCCCCTGTGTACAAATGCTCTTTTGGCTGAATGGGCACAAATTCCCACAGAAACACTCCAAAATTGTGTGTAAAGCCTTCCCAGAAGAGAGGAGGCTGTTACAGCCTCAAAGGGGGTGCCAGTAATACAGTAGGATGTCCAACAAACTAATATAGGTGTGATGGACCCGGCACCACTACAGGGCATACAATGGAGCTGTACCAGCAATGCACATATGGATGGAGCTCCGTCACAGCACAGCAGCCCACACTGGACCCCAGGCTGAGGATCTACTTCAGTTTTTGTAAGATAGGGAGACTGGGTGGATCTCAATCATAATTTTTTTGGGAGTGTGTATGTGTGTGTGAGAATGTCTGTGAGATTGTGTCTGTGGTTGTGTGTGTCTGTCAGTTTTTTTGAGGGCCAGTTCACACTATTACAGTGCGTTAATCACATAGCACTGTATCAGGCAATAATCGCACCTACCGCGCATTCTTGTGCAGGAGGTGCGTTGCATTGCCATTCGTTTGAATGGCACCCTAAATGCACCTCCCACCTATAGTTTGATCTCCCGCACGGTACCGCAATGCCCTGCGTTCCAGTGTGCTGCGACTTTGGTCACAACTTAATGACAAAGGACAAATGTGGGTCTTGAGGTTACACAGGTTGAGAATCACTGGTATACAGTATATACAGTATATACACATACATGCAGAAAACAGGATAATCAGCAGTAGCTATCAGGCTCCTGTCCGGAGCATCATCTTACCAAAGCGCCTCCCTTTATTATACAGGGCCGGACTGTCAGAACAAACTGATGCATATGTATCTATTTTCACTGTAAGTCTGAAAATTCCTATATTGACACGGTTTGTTAATCAGCAATTCCACTGTTATTTACACATTTTTCATGTGTCATTTCATGACAGATCCCCCCTAAAACCCCAAAAATGGCCAAATCTTCTGTGTTAGCCCGTAACAAGGCTGAAACCACATTGAAAAAGGGATAAGTGAACTTCAGGCAACACTTTTATCTATCAAGTTTTTTTTGCAGTCTCGGTCCCCACTATAGACATTTCCCCTTACTTCCTGTTAGGACTTTAAGTAATTGTAAATCCCTCCAGTGGGAACACAGACTTCAATAAAATACTTTTTTCCTTAAAATGAGGAAGGATTAGAATTTGTCAGGTTATTTTTATCAGTATCTTCCTGCTCCTGTGACAATATTCCCTTCATTGCTTGTCCTGCTGCCACAGGGACAGGGAGTGAAGAGATATCTCTTCAACTGTGTCACGGACAGCAACGGAATCTTGAGAAAACTATTTTAAAGTTGGGCTTTCAGATTTCATGTGTTATTTTCAGAACCATTTAAACATATTAACACTATCCGCAAAACTTTCTGTCTTAAATTACAAAGGACAAACTTGCTCTGTATATATTGTCATCTTTGTATGTTAGGCTTAAGCTCTATAGGCTTACATTGACTGCTGTCTATACACAAACCCGGGTCGATTTAGTGAGCCAGCAGTTCACTGGTGCATATTCTAACTCTTGTGTCTAAGTTCATTTTAAAGAGTGTTGTTTATGCACAATGAGCAAGAAACAAAATGGTGTGGAAGTGGAATGTTTGCCTGTGGCAACTAGATTGACTGTTTTAGCTAAAAGATGAAACCAGACCAGTTGTGATTTCTACTTCTGCTCTACTTTTGACTAGTAGTTATGAATTGTTTAGAGCAAACAGCTAGAGGCTCTCTAAGAAGTGTCAGGGGCCCTTGCATCATTTAAAGCTGAACTCCAGGCAAACTGATAATTACAGCACCAATATACTGTATATATATATA